TTAGACTTACCGATATGTGTGTGTGTGTGTGTGTGTGTGTGTATCTATGTGTGTGTGTGTGTGTGCGTGTGTATATATATATATATGGGATTGACTCTAGTGAGATGACACCTTACGGTGAGATGACATGCTTCGGTCAGATGACGCAAAGCTCACCACACTACACTAGAAAGCTCACCAATGGACAATGCAAAGCTCACCTGGAAATAAAGCAAAACTCACCACTTTGAACACCAAAACTCACTTTTTTAAAAAAAATTGAAAATTAAAAAATTAATAAAAAATAAAATAGCAACACCGGTCAACGGCGGCGGCCGGAGGCGGAGCATCGGCGGCGGTCGGAGTCTTGCGACGGCAAAGACCGGCAGGCGGCGGTGGCTCCCAGAGTCCGGCGACGGCGGCTGGCAGCCGCGGCAGGCGGCGGTCAATGCTGGCGGTCAACAGTCAAATTCCAGTCATTCCTTTGATTTTATTTTTTCAAAAAAAATTCAAAGTGTTGAAAAAATATGGTGAGCTTTGCCTTACAGTTTGGTGAGCTTTGTAGTTGTCTTTGGTAAGCTTTGCAGTGGTTAGTGGTGAGCTTTGTGTCATCTGACTAAAGCATGTCATGTCACTGTAAGGTGTCATCTTACTGGAGTCAATCCCTATATATATATATATATATAGACACACACACACACACACACATACATACATACATACATACATACATATATATATATATATATATATATATCTATATATATATATAGGATTGACTCCAGTGAGATGACACCTTATGGTAAGATGACATGCTTTAATCAGATGACACAACACACAACACTGCCAATGGAAAGCTCACCAACTGCCAATGCAAAGCTCACCCATTGCCAATGCAAAGCTCACCCATTGCCAATGCAAAGCTCACCAACTGTCAATGCAAAGCTCACTACTTTTTTTTAAATAAAAAAAAAGTTAAAAAAATAACACTACCATTCAACCACCAGTCAACCACTGCTCAACCAACGGTCTACGACGACAATGGGGGTCATCAGTGGTGGCCATTGGTCATGGGCGGTCAAAGTGTAAATCTCACCAACTGTCAATGCAAAGCTCACCAATTGACAATGGAAAGCTCACCAAGGAACAATGCAAAGCTCACCACTTTTTTTAAAAAAAAAAAGCTAATAAAATTGCACCACCAGTCAACCACCGGTCCACGGCGGTAGTCTGCAGCGGTTGGAAGTCAGCACCACCGCCCTTTGTTTTTTTTTTTGAAATCATTTTAAACTTTAAAGTGTGGTGAGCTTTGTGCACACATTCGGTGAGCTTTGCAATGAGAGTCTGAGCTTTGTTGTTGTGCTTTGTAAGCATTTAACCATCAAATTTTGAAAAAAAAGTAAAGTGTTGGAAAATCATGGTGAGCTTTGCAGTGGACAGTGGTGAGTTTTGCAGTGATCAGTGGTCAGCTTTGCAGTGATTGTTGAAACACGGGCATGTCACGTTTTCGTACTAAAGCCGTGTTTGTTTTTATGACAGGTTTTGATAATGCCAAACCGCCGTGATCAAGTCAAACTTTGAATATACAAGGCGAAGAAGGAAGACAAGAACAAGAGCTAAAAGAAGACCAAGAACGAAGACCTTAGTCTTAGTGTCGTTGAGTCGGTCTTCATTATGATCAAGACCGACCCAACCTTTACACCTTGGCTCTTTAGGCTAAAAACCTTCATTGCACTCCTTAAATCATAAAAATGCTTTTCAAACATGTTTAAGTCATTAAAAACACTTGGTGTTCGCCCAAACCAAAAACCAAGCCATCCAGCGTTCGGGTTTCAGAAACTGGCGTTCGGCTCTCGGTTATCGGCTATGGTTTTTGGCGTTCGAACCAACCAAGTGATTTTCAACTTTTTATGATTGGTTTTTACTGTTTGGCATGTTTAAACGGTTCTCCAACAAAAACACCTTGAAAACCATCTCTCGCTTTTGGTCGTTTGACAAAAATCATTCAAAACGGCATAAAACTTGGCTAGCCGTGGTTTTCACTTAAATGACGTGGTTTTTAAAGTGTCTTACTCGATTTATTAGCAAAATACATCAAATAAGTGTTTTAAACTCTTGGTTTTTATTTTGGAGAACTTTGAATTTTTCGGTCGGGTTACGCATCGGTTGGCTAGGCCGTGGTTAAGCCAAAAACCATGGGTTCTTGACTAACCACTCACCCAGCGATGGGAAGATCTTCCCATCGATGGGTAAGCGGCTCCTCAGCCAAACCAGTTTCCAGAACCA